AAGCTGATTCATACACCAAAATCTTTGCCAACAAATTAACACTACAGATCATCACAGAAACAATGTAGAAGTGTTATTACTCTAAGGTCATAGGTATCTTAAATTGTCACTCTAATAAGAAGCAAGTGCAAACCATATGGAAAAGGTAATTCAGAATACAACATGCAACCTTCAACTGAAACCATGTTTGTTGGCTTTATTTGAATACTAAATTAGTATGACCAAAGAGACATCATTTTTATTGCTGGAAAACAGGTGAGTGAAATGGATGAGGGGAAAAGAAGGGGGCGAATTATCCAACAAAAGAGAGTTTCCTGTAGTAACAGCAGCCAGTTCAAGAAAAAAAGTCTCCGCAATAGAACAGGTAACCAATATGGCTTGGCAGCCATCCATGGTTTTATCAGTTAAGACGCATCAGCAACAATGTAATTATTTGACAATGCTTCCAGAGTAAGGGCATGAAGGGATGCTATTGCAGTACAAATCAAGCTAAATAAAAGAATAAATCAAATAAAAATACTTTCCATTAGCAGACAATTCTAACCTCCTAGAACAAGAGCTACAAAGCAGTGGCACCAGAAGCAAGGTCTGAATCCAATGAACAAGCTTTTGCAAAAGCAGTATCAGTTTGAAGAAATGCAGAAGCAACAACCCTCTCAGTCTCTTCAGGAAAGTCTTCATCCTTAAAGATGAACCTTGGCAAATGATAGCAAGCAAAGTCAGCAGCATGCTTCCCACCATGTCCATCGAACACCTGGTCGCCAAATAAGTTGAAAATAGGAACGCTAATCTTCTACCAAAGCATAAACAGATGTAAAGTAATCTCATCAGTTCCGATCAAAATCGGCCATATCCCTATGGTTTATAGAACTTTATACAATCCTAGGTCATCTCCCGGGCATTTTTCTTTCTTTTTGCAGGTAAGATCATGAAAGGAAGCACCAAACCTTCTGAGAAACTAATAGAAAAGTAGCTTTCAATGCTTTGTGAATGAAGTTAACAGTTGAGATCCAAAAGAACATAGTACAAAACTACTGATTAGAGAAATGTACTTGAAGAGGAAAACTACTCAAAAGAAATGTCAGGTCTTAAAACATACTTTACCATGATTATAGTTTAAAATAAAACAAGCACACTAGAGGACTAAAGGTTTCATACCCCATAAAAGGCACGGGGCCCATCAGCGAAATTCTTGAGACCGTAATCAAGCATAAAATCATCAACACACAGATATACATCTTCCATGCATGTTCTAAGCCCTATGTCAGCCCATGCCCCAGAACGGACAACAGGGATGAACTCAGCACCATGGTTCTCCACCACGTGTCCATTTCCAACATCAATATCCAATGCCTTTGACTTCACCTGCTAAAATTAAAATCAAAATCCTATCTCATAAAAAACAACACGTGTAGACATTTCATCAGAAGAAAACAAACTTCTAGAATTCTGAAAACAACTCGCAGCAAATATGGTTCCTTCAAGGTAATATTATTAAGAAAGAAAGAAAACTTCCAAGCATGGCAAATACTCAGAGAAACCTCGAAATTCTTAACAATCTACAAAATTTGCTTCCAATGAAAAACCCTTCCATTTATTTCCAATCAAAAGGGAAACCTTGGAGAATCGCATATATGATCATTCTATGCAAGACTATACAAGTAAACTAAAATCTCGTAATTTAACAGAGTGCACAAACTCCTTCACAAGTAAAAAAATCACCGCCGATTAAAAATGTAGCCTACCGACATAAAAAATAAATAGGAGAAAGGAAAACTCACAAGAGAGGGGTGTCGAACGAGGGACTTCTTACAAGGCTTCAAAACGGCATCACCGTTAGGACATTGCAGCCCATACGACGGCGTTCGAGGATGCGGTGGCTTACCCTCGCTGGTGCTCGCATTATCTAGACGACCAAATCCGTTGTTTCCCTCCATCATCACATTCTCCAAATTCAACCCAGCATAACTTCAAACACAATCTTTTAACCTGTATACCTCGATCTCGAGTCAACTCTGCTCAAGATTCTTATAACAACCAAGCAAATGCAATAACAACAACTAGGTGAATCCCATCAATGAGTGTTGAATTCTCCCCATATCCCAATTACGAAAGAATATATCATATTAAAAAACAACCGATTTTCTCGAGATTTAAAGGTTTCCGATAGTAAGGTTTAGAAAAAGGGACTAAAACGAAATTAGGGTTTAGAGAAAAGGGAGGGAAACAAAATTATACGATTATTTTTCCCCGTGCACACAGAAGAAGAGAGAGAAGCTTTGGGCGAATCCGGCGAGAGCATCAAGAGGGGTGATTCATTTACAGCTGAAAAGCTGAATGGTCGATTCTTAAAGTCAAGCGGTGTGACCTCTAAACGGTGTCTGTTTAGCCATTTTTTTATTCGGATTTTACATTATGCAATTTATACAATTAATTAATTATCTAGGTTTATTAAATGATTCTAATGATTAAAAAATGATCCACTTCATCTCAGTGATTTAAATTCAAATAATGGTTTTTATAGAAAATAGGACAAAATCATAGCAGCTTTAAATGTTTAAAAATAATAATTAATTATTTAATTACAAAACATTATCATGAATACTAAATATTCCAATTAATTCCAAATACAGCCTATAAGATAATTATTACGAAAGATTAATTGCTTTTTTATTTAATTATTTCTCTATATCTTATGTCGTTTGTTTAGTTTTTCATACTTTTCAATGCTGACGTGAATATTAGTTTTGAGTCAGTTGTTAATTTTTACTTTTCATTAGTCTCATGATATTTATTTGGTTATATTTCAAATTAAAAAAAATAACGATATATCTCTTTGATGATTGTAATGCTAATAAATACTATATTATACAGTATGAATCGTACGATCTTAATGATTAAGAGATTGTTATTTTTTCAAGTTTCAGGGTTGAATACTACGAATGTCTGAGGTATAAACTTTCGTCATCAAATGATTAAGAGCCTTTGAACAAATAATATTGTACATTTACTCGATATTATATTATATAATTCAAGTTTTATTAATGCCATCGATTTTATTGGATTTTGAGATACTTTTAAATGATAAATGCAATAGTTCCAGCTTGATCTGCATGTGTTACCACGTGCCAATTACAAATGAATTAAAACGAAACACTTCTTTATTATTTTTTTCAATACTTCAAGCAAACGAGATTATAAATTTAAACCGAATTAAACCGACATTATCTTAATATTTTACCATAAATTTATTAATTAAAAATGAATTAATCTTGGAATAGAAGACTTTTGGTATTGGGCCTAGATTATAAGTCCGATTAAACTTAAGGTTGACCAGCCTAAGTTTTCATTTCCTTCGCCTGCTTCGGGTACCGTAGTCATTATATCCTATACTATTCCGGTGATGTGTCCGATTAGGATTTGATTTGTTTTGTTCCGTTCCCGGCGTCTCCGTTCCAATTCCGCCGTGTCAGACACCGGTACGAGGGGTTTCCAGCGTCAGTACAAATCTTTATCCTCTTTAACAAAGGGTTGGGATTAGGCATTTAAACGAACACGAACGAGGATTTTCATGTTCGTTCGTTTAACTTTAATCGAACAAATGAACGTACACAAACATAAACAAACGAAAAATTTCTTGTTCATGTTTGCTCGTTAACGAATGTAGTTTGTTCGTGTTCGTTTATTTAAATGATAAAAGAACACAAATGAACGAACATAAACAAACACAATAAACGAACGTAAACATACACAAACAAACACAATAAATGTACATAAACGAACGTAAACAAACTTAAATGAAAATATTATTATTTTCTTTCCTAACAGTTTTAGGATTATAGTTTATTTAATTGTTTTGAGTTTTTTTATATGTATCTAAAATTAATTCAATATTAAAATATTTATGGCATCAGATTAAAACTTATTGGGTTTTAATATTTTAAATGAGTCTAAAGAGATTGGGCTAAATATAAATAAACGCGCATAAACAAACATATTACCAAACGTTCACGAACGTAAATGAACGAACGATCCATCTATTCATGTTCGTTTATTTAATTAAACGAACGCAAAATCTTGTTCATCTTCGTTCGTTTAATAAATAAACGAACATAAAAGAACTTCCCGCCAAATAGTTCGTTGAACGTTCGGTTCGTTTACAGACATAGCTTGAATTAGATTCGACCAATAAGAATTGTGCTATTGTTATTACTAATATTCTGAAGTGGGCCTTTAAGTTGATTTCCATAGGCCCGATAATAGGAAGCTTTGAGATGACTCCCATGTTCAAAGAAACAATCTCTTCCAACATTCGAGGAGACTCCGGCTCTCAGCATGTACTATTTTTCATCCTCGTACCTTTCTATATATCCATCGAGAGTGCAAGTCTTTAATATAAATATATTATTTTATAATTATTATAAATTATTTTAAAAAAAGTTTCAAAAAATAATTAGGTAAACTATACATTTATTGTCTAAACTATCAATTTTGATGCATTTTATGGCTTAAACTTTTTTTCTCTTCAAAATCATACCTAACATTTAATTTTTATTTCCTTTTAGTATACGGGATGAGTATAACCCTAGTAGACGAAATACCAATCTGAATGATGAATCACGAGAGAATAATGGATCACCCAACATAATTTAATTTTAAGCCCATCAACGGCTAACGATATAGATAAGAGGATGAAAAAGTCAGAGAATTTATTGTTGATTTGAGAAGATTATGATATTTTCTGATGAAATAGAAATCATAATCATGTTCATACGATCAAAAAATGTGCGAATTGAAAAGTTTATATCATATCGATCGATAGATGCGACGACCAACGATCATAGACACAATGATTGACGAGTCTATTCGTCAAATTTTTAATAAAAAATATTAAAATAAACTAAAATAAAGTTATATATACTTAAAAAAATAAAAAAAATAAAAAATTAAAACATATTAAAATTAATTGTTTAACTTTGCCCCGATGCTAATCGTCACCGATGAGGAAAGAAAAAGTTGTGAATAGCAATTCATCGTCATCTCGTGTCCATCCCCAGCCGTCGTATTAACTTCGGTGTTCGTGTGATGTCCCCTCCATGGTTAAATCCAACGACTCTCTTCAAATCGGAAACACCAAATCCGATGCTGTTAAAATCCTGCGATCAATTTTTTTTCCAACGGGGAAAGAGCTGACAGAACCGGTTAGACCGACACGTGTCTTTCGTTTTGGATTCCAAAATATGCCCTCCACCGTCAAATCAAATTGCTCTATCCTCGTGCGTGGCCATCATTTCAACGGCGTCAATAATACGGTAATTCCCTAACCACTGTCTAAACGTCTCAAGGTTATACAGTCTTTTCACGATCGTAAGCCGCACCTCCACATTTCATTGGCTGACGGAAGCTGAAAGGCAGTCGTACCACCTGACTCGCAGTCGTGACGTGGATTTATGTCACGTGACATCACTATCGATTTCCGGACTCCGGGGAAGGACCTGCTACATGACGTAATCGTATTCTGTAAAGGGGAAACCGTACGTACTTTTACCCTATTTTATTGGTTGCTTTGTCCGTATAAACGTTTTTTCATGGCTTAAGGATGGCGTTTGGTGCTTAATACACTTAATTTATCGTCTATATTATAATTTTGTATCAATTTTTTTAAAATTTGTTGAATTATATTATCTTATATTTTATCTTTATCTTAAAATCTTAAATTATAATTATTGAGTTAGATTTAGGGTTTATATTTTAGAGGCTATAATTTAGGTTTTAAGTTAGGAGATAAAATATAGAATGATATAATTATGTATTTTCAATGTTAAATTAATACGAAAATTTGATTGAAACAAAAGTGATAAATTCAATATACTACGAAGACAAAAGTTTTGCATTTCTTTTCAATTAGATCAATAATTTTCATCGAACATAATTGTCAATTTGACATCCCGTGTAAGAAAATATATGACCGTTGCTAAAATTTAACGTTAAGTTTTAAGAAAATTAAATGTTTAAATATTTAAATTTATTAAAATTGATAGTTTATACATTAAATACGTTAAATTTTTAACGGCGTGTTGTTAAAATAAAATAAAATAAATATTATATTAAAAATTTAAATATTAAATAGGCTGTCATTATTAGTTTTAATACCAAATACACAATTTACCGTATGATATACAGGTCGATTCAATGCTCGAGTCATTACATCTTTCTTCAAGAAAACTTATCTTCGCGTCTTTGGTTGAAGATCCGATGTTTGACAGACAATTTAAGTTGATGCATATATGTAAAATGAAAAGAAATGGGGAAAGTAGGGGCGCAATGGAGTAGTAGATGGCGGTAGGTTTAGGTCGGTCCAATATTTGGTTTTAGGCATGCAGCAGAACAGCTCGATTTATATGGCTTTAGGCATACAGTTCGATGATACATTAAATACCTATATTTTACCCAGCCGACCTATGGTAGTTAAATATATTAAGATAAATTATACGAATAATCTTATATTTCTATTCATCCAATTTCGATCATCAATTTAATAAAAAAACGATTTTATTCTCTTATATTATTGATTTGTTTAGTTTGATTCCTCCTTTTTACCATCATTAAATGTTAATGTTAAAATTTTCTTATATTATACCTACGTAACGAAATGTAACAGCATACATAACATCAACGTTTAGCTCATAAAAGTCATGCCGTGTAGTGAAGCCGTGTTATTTTTTTAGGTTTAAAATCAAAATAAATGTCGAAATTATATCTCTTTCTAAAATAAGCGCTTAAACAACTTTTGACTAAGTATGAGGCTTAACGTTACAAATATTATCCATTTAAGTATATGGACTGTCAACGATTTAATTTTCTCATTAAGTGACCCGTGTCAATTTTTTGATAATTTTAAAAATTTTATTTAAAATTATACATTAAAAAAACAAAGTTTTTAAATAAACTCAAAACTTTGAAAACTTTCATTTCAACACGCCGGCCCGGCCGCCGTCTTTTGCCGTCAACGAACCTCCACCCGAAATTTCCTCTCACGACGAGCAAAACAATCATGAAATCGTGACTGATCGACGGCCAATCGACGAAAACTACGATGACGTATGAGTAGAAGGATGTCATGGACTACGTCGGTGACGGTAATCGTGGCCGGAAATGATGACGCGAATTAAGGTTGGAAATTGAGATTTGGGGTTGTTTTATAAGATAAGAAAAGTTTTTTTTAAATATCATAATATTTTTAAAAAAATAAATTTTAAACTCACCTGATTTTGACACGTATCACCTAAATGAAAAAATTAACATCATTGACTACCCTAATACCTAATTGGATTTGTAACGTTAGACACCTGAACGAATTAAAAAATCGTTTAAGTACGTATTTAAAAATATAATTTAAACATTTATTTTGGTATTAAACTTTTTTTTATAACTAGCCGTGGAAATAAAAGACATCGAGAATCAAAGCCGTATATAGCACATCAGTATTGTGGGCTCCAACTGTGTGTGTGTATGTATATGTACAAGATCTCAGCAAAGCCCCTTTAGATCCCTTTGTATCCAAACATCAGTCATTGATGTTGTTCCATCTTCATTTCTACACCCAACAGATCACTCATATATATATATAATTACGTAAAAGAAAAGTTAAAATATACCAACACAATATGAAATAAATAGCATAAAACATAACACGTATAACATGAATTATTAATATTTTAATATGATAAAAAATATTAATATATTATTAGTACATACTTATGATTGAACTGAATTAGATTTTTATATCCAACTTAAACTTGCATCAAATTACATCTTCAATGGTTTTATATTAGGTGTAATTATTTATTGTTTATTCATTTAAATTATACTTAAACATAACTTAATTCACTTTCATTCCTATCGTGTTTTTGGGCATGCGTGTGCAATACACTGTTCACATCAAGTGTTTGTATAGCACACATGTAGTTTTAGGGTAAAGTGCACGAACGGTCCCCAAGTATAGGATATTTCTTTATTAGGTCATTTGACTGTTAAAAGTTATAGAGTAGTCGTTTGATCATAGAGTGTTTATTTGTCGAGTCCTCAATTATTAAAAGTTACAAAATGATTACTCAACTATTCATTATGTTCCAAACTCGTCATATTTAAAAAAAAATATGAATGATATTATGAGTTGAATATCCTATTAAAATGATATATTATGAGTTGAATATTCGTTGAGTGTGATATGATAAAACATTATCTTAAAATCTCAAATGAGTTAATATCCTACTAAAATTTTAGCATCCAGCTTAAATAGTCATTAAATTTTTTTTTTGCAAAAAAAGACGAATATACAATGAATAGTTGAGTGATCATTTTGTAGCTTTTAATATTAGATGACTTAACAAAGTAACATTCTATAATTAAAATATCATTTTGTGTGAACTTAATAAAATAATATCCTATAGTTGGGACCATTTGAGTACTATACCCTATTTGTATATTGATATCGGATTAGTTGATAAGAATGAGAACAAAATTGGCCAAAACTTCTTATAAATCAATCAATAATATAGTTGTCTAAACATGAAAAAGAAAAATAAAGTGGGGAAATATTAAAATCTGCATGGAGAACTCAGAAACAACCTTGAGAAAAGGAAAAAAAAATCCTTTTCCTTAACCTTCACGCCTCCATTAATACCTATTACCTACTGCTAAAATAAATTGCCACTTACAATCATAAAGAGAAATAACCCATGTTTTTCCCTGCAGTAATAATCCCCTCCCACCGTTGACTCTTGGGTTTCTGTTTCTCTCTCTTTTGAGTGCCTTTCCACTCCCTTTTAAAATCCCACATCGTCTACATGAAACTTTTATGAATCGAGGAAACAGAGCTTTACAGAGTGAAAAGAAAAGGGAAAAAAAGATAACTGCTGAGGTTTTCTCTCTTTCTTCTTAAGCCTTCTTTCACTATGGGTTCTTTTAAAGACGAAGAACAGCGACATCATGGTTACAACGAAGCTAACTGCGTTTTGGTTCAGGGGCCTATCATTGTAGGTGCAGGACCCTCTGGACTAGCAGCCTCGGCTTGCCTTAAACAACAAGGTGTATCTTCCCTTATCCTTGAGAAAAGTGACTGCATTGCTTCTTTATGGCAACATCGGACGTATGATCGTCTAAAACTCCATCTTCCCAAGCAGTTTTGTCAACTCCCACTCCTTGGGTTCCCTCAAAACTTCCCCAAGTACCCGACCAAACACCAGTTCATCTCTTACATGGAGTCCTACGCTTCACATTTCTCAATCCAACCGAGGTTCAACCAGGCGGTGATGAACGCCGAGTTTGATCACGTTACGGCATCTTGGAGGGTTAAAACTCAAGACTCCGAATACATTTCAAGGTGGCTCATTGTTGCCACTGGTGAAAATGCCGAGCCTGTAATTCCGGACATTTCGGGTATCAATATGTTTAAGGGTAACGTCCTTCATACGAGTTTATACAAGTCTGGCTCCGAGTTTGAAAACCAAAGGGTTTTGGTTATCGGATGCGGTAACTCCGGCATGGAAGTCTGCTTGGACCTTTGTCGATACAATGCAGTTCCTCATTTGGTTGTTCGAAACACAGTAAGTTCATTTCATACTCCAACTTATACATTTTGGATTGTTTTGGTGTTGCTCATGTTATTTATTTTCCGACTGATTTTCAGGTGCATGTACTGCCGAGGGAGATGTTCGAATTCTCGACATTTGGTATAGCCATGGCACTTCTCAAATGGCTCCCTGTGAAGCTAGTGGACAAGTTGCTTTTGCTGGTATCCAACTTCACCTTGGGCAACACGGATCAAATGGGTCTCCGGCGGCCGAAAACGGGCCCGATTGAGCTCAAGAATGTCACCGGAAAGACTCCGGTGCTCGATGTCGGTGCACTATCACAAATAAAATCTGGTAAAATCAAGGTAATGCAAGGTGTCAAGGAGATCACACGAAATGGAGCCAAGTTCATGGATGGACAAGAAACCGAGATTGATTCAATCATATTGGCAACCGGATACAAAAGCAACGTGCCTACGTGGCTCAAGGTACTATATTAACGTACTCTTTTGCATGTTTTTCAGATAATTAATTTTTATCGGCAGTAACTTATTTGCCTTTAATGGAAATATAGGGGTGTGATTTTTTCACCAAAGATGGCATGCCGAAAACGCCGTTTCCTAACGGATGGAAAGCGGGGAAGGGATTGTACACAGTCGGGTTTACAAGAAGAGGGCTTCTAGGAACGGCTTCTGACGCCGTTAAGATTGCTAGAGACATAGGTGAACAATGGAGCATGGTCAATGACTGTAATAAACAAGAATGTAAAATGTAATACAAGTTTGTGCAGAATATTTCGTAATAAAATAGAATGTATTTTAATTTCAATTTCTATTAGAAAGTCGTGTTTAAATGTATAAATATAGTTTTTTTTTTAAAAAAAATTAGAAACTATTAGTAAACTGTATAAAAGAAACGAGAGATGTTCATATAGAAATAGACAATGCATTATATAAATTCAAATAGAAATACAAAACAGTAGAGATTTTTTTTTCTTTTTCATATAGAAATAGACAAATGAGGGCAGAGAAGCAATGAGAAGGCAATTGGTGTGACTGAACACTTCAGTGCTGTAAGTACCCATTCCTTAGCAGCGTTGGTAAGTACCCATGACGCCGAGTACACGGTATATCGCAACGCACAACTTTGTCTGCATCTAAAATCTACAGTCTCTTCTGAAATTTACATTTAATTATATATATATATCATACATCAGCCTAATTTAACCTTAGTCTAATGTAAGGTTAAAAAATAAAAAAAAAATATTATAAGATGGAAACTTATTATACAAAAATGTAACATTTTCGGTTTATTTTCATTATGCATTAGCATTAAATTAGGCAGGCTTTCAATCTCCATGGAATTTGGTTTCTTGTTTTCTCTTTCTGCTTCATGTTGATAATTGAGAAAATGATGGGGCGATCTGACGCCTTCCCTTCCATTGTACGACTTTGCTTTTCTTCATAAAACGGATTGACAGCTCTGCTTTGTTCATCTCATTGCTCTCCACTTAACAGTCTATTCGCTGATTGCTGATGCTAACAAATCCCTTCTATAATACAAATTTACAGTGATAGAGAAGTGAAGGGATTTGGATTCTGGGAAGAGCATTGAATTCGAATATCACTATCACACGATTCCAAAAGGCATGCGTTCTCTCACGTCACTCTTTCTCTCACTGACCCTTTCTTGTTTGGCACTGAGAAGAGGCAGATTGCATTGTTTAATGATCAAACAAACACAGGTTTTCTCGATTTTTTCGCTTTGCATGCTCTCCCCATCTGCTCGACGTATTGCCTGGTCCATCCTTTTACTTCACCAACACCGGGTAATTGGTCATCTTTTAAAAATGGATTTCACTTTCAGAGGTGGGTTTTGATTTTTGAAATCAACAGGGTGGCGCGTGCATTAAACGCGAAGATGCAGGTGGATGGCGGGAACTCGGGGATCGATGCAGGGGCGTATCTATGCAATGCAGGTATAGATTGGAATGACATGGCATGCATATGTACTGATCGAAGACTGATGTTTGTGCAACTATTCATTTACTGGATATAACAGTTTTATTATCTTTCTTTGGATCTTGTTGAGATGATGATGAAATAATATTCCACACCGCCATGGTTCAGTGCTGGAATAATATTGGGCCCACTTTGTATCACTGCATTTTGCTCACTGCGTCGACGTTATCTTAGCTGACAGCAGATGGGAGAAGAAATGCCAAAGAGAGCCATTCCCATGCCAGCTTTACCAAACACATTTGGGTGAATATTCGATCGAGTCAAATAATTCAGCCCCTCCATCGGGAAGACGAAGGTGGCTTCACCTCATCGAAACCAAATTTGGAGAGTGGATCATGTTGTGTATACCCCCTGATTCCTTCGTCTTCGCGGTCGGATATCTTACGGTAATCACACCAGACGCTACTTGGTTTTTCAATTTCATCTTACAGTACATAACTGAACCAGCATTGAATTTCCAAATAAAAAATGCAGGCGTGGAGTAAGAGAAGAATGTTTGCAGGGAAGCATAGGGTGATGCTGAACAGAGACAAAGGTCGGTGTTCTTTGGGAGCATTTGTGGTTCCGAAGGAGGGTACAATCATTAAAACACCGAAAGAGAGTTGATGAGGAAAATCCTCAAGTTTTCAAGGATTTCGATTTCATGTACTTCGTCGATTATGCAAACTCAGATGGTTCATTGCGAATTGACTCAGCTAAGAAGCTGTTTTCATATGCTGCTCTACCATGAAAATAAGATAAAAATTCGAAACGTATTAAGCATCAATGACAGGCATGAAACAGATAGCTCTTCCTAATAAGTAGGGATAGCAGCAAGTCAATATCCGCAATTTCTGTAATATCCAGATTCGAACTACGCTTAAACTTTATACCTCTCTTTATCTTCAGTGCCAGATTCCGCTGCTTGAACCATATTTCTTCCATCTCTCGCCATAACGACTGTGCCTTGAGGAATGCCTGTAATTTTATACAGCAATGAACACCATAAACATACTAAAACTGGACCCTTTCATATCAATTGCGGAATTCATATTTAGATTTAGAAGGATCACCTGTTTGTATTGGGACTCGATCGCCGGAACCAGTTGCTTGACTTACATTACCAGCAACGGCTGTCTTTCCCCGAAGTTCCCGTGAGAATGTGATGCTACCAACTGCTTCAGGTTCCCCATTGGATACATAATTTTCACCAACTGTCCTCACCGCAGATTTAGGAGAATAAGTTGTGAACCAAGATCCTCCGTTCGAGCCAGACAATGCCATTATTACATCTGCCTGAAATAACCATACAGCATATAGTTGTCATTAACAGAAATGTATATTAAGAAACAATATACCTGACATGATATTCACGTGACATATTTTAAGATTATGCAGCCATTAAATATCATGCTTGTTTAACAAAAGTGTGGCTGCAAACTAACCCTCTTCAAGCTTCAGAAAACTAGAATCATAAAAGATTCCCAAAGCTGAAATGTTGCACCGACTGGAGCTAAAATCGGTGATTAACAGGCATGAGGCACCCTAATAGCCAAAGCCAATGTGAAGCAACAAGTTATAACAGACAATATAACCGCCAGGTAAACTCTAATAACAGCCAATTTTCCACTTGCTTAGAACCAGTATCTCAGAAAATTGAGCAAGAAAGGTAAAATCTCAGTGGCAATCGGATTTCCAAGTCTAAAAATCTTCGGTCTCTCAATGATCAATGGTAACTTCTTATTCATTGGTACAGTGGCAAAGGATTGTGCTTGATTAGGCACCTTTGTTTGGAATCCGTGTTTTGTTAGTGCTCCTATGTTGGTGAAAAAACAGCATTCAGTTTTTCTTAACAAGTTGAGCACAATCTGTCCGTCCTACTAAACCGAGTACACGAATCGAAAACATATGAAAAGGAACATATCACAGGTTCATTCCTCCTAATCTCCAAGCCATCAGGGAGACCAGAAAAATCAACAGAGCTATCGCACCTGATGTTTCAGAAAACATGATGGCATATCAAATCTTATGAGAACTTCCAAGTCCAGTACAAAGATACGGATGTAGGTCCGATATCGAGTTATACCATATATGGTGTTAAGCTCAACAATCCTCTTGTGCATCACATTGATTCAATCGGCTACACAGAATTTTGAAACCTAGTCGCACTAGCTATTAATGGATTATATAAAACAACTATGATATCAACTTATCATAGCCGACGGAGACCTGAATGTTCAATTAGATGAAATACTTGAATCATATAGAAGTTTATACAAGCAACCCTGACGGAAAACAATTGAAATTAAAGAACTTAAGGTCCATTAGCATATAATAAGAAACTGACCTTGTTTGGATGCACATCATCAAAGACATGGGCCTGACCAGCATAAAATATAGTCATTTGTCGGCTGGCAGTTGTTAATCCCTGTTGACTGAAGCACAAAAGAAGGCATTGCATATATCATCTCGACATTTCTTTTCTTTGCGGAGCACGACAATCAAAAGCAAGAAACAAAGACTATTATATTCACCTTGGAGGAACTAAGGACTCTGTTTCTGAAATATAAGCACCAGACTTGGGCCGTTCTCCACTTGACACTATCCCAAATGAACCCTTTTCAGTGGGAACACTACTAGCATTAATAGAAGACAAAATTCCAGGGCCTATAATTCTAGTTCTAGATCCTTCATCAGCAGCAGCCTGAGAGATACCAGATGGACCAACATTTGTATCCTTGGACCTGTTTGAAGATATTTGATGCACAAAAGGTGCAAAGTGACCACCACGTGAACCATACTGAACTGCGGAGGGGACAGACCGCTCCCATTTGGTAGCATTACCTTCAAGTCTGCTACAAGTGGGAGGCTGCAATATACGAGATGTAGAAGAATGGCGCATCAACTTCATACCAAGGAATACTTCGTCCTCATTGGACATTCTAGGTCGCTCTTCTCCGTCCCCATTGTGGAGCATCTGAACACAAACATAAAGAAAAATATTTAGAACTTAGGAATAACTAACAAAAATGGAGTGTTTCTCTTTCGCTTGGAGAAGATAGAAGTAAAACATGATAAAGACACAATATCGACAAACACCTTCATCAAATGCAAGCTCTCAAGAGATTCATGAGCCATAAAGGCCAAATCCAAATTACTCCTCTTACTTCCTGCCAAACTGTTGCTTATATCTGGCCCAGATATTTCGCTCCTTGGACCGTAGTATGGAATCCCTCAAGATGATTTCCGACCTGTCTTTCTACTCATTGATGAGAAAATGGATCAAACTTCAATCGAGATAGGTTGAATCTCAACTCAGAAGATTACATATTATTATGAGCAAATGTAACAAGCTCGAAGATTAGGAATGTCAACATACTGAGATAATATGCATATAATTATGAGCAAAACGTGTAAGAGCTAACTAGCAACACATAATGCTTAACGAAATACTGCAATTATGTAAAGCTTTTTGTTCGCAATAGATGACAACATGTAAGGTATGGCTCATAAATATACCGGTAAAGAGGACAGGAGATGGAGCGGAGTGAGCGAAGCGAACGCAGCGAACATCAACTTTCCTTACAAAGAAAGTCTCGTAGAGGGGGTTACGATTATGTGGGTTGGGGGTGCGCCCCGCGGTACGGTACAAGGTTAATTTTGTAATTATGTACCAGGGTTTTCTATTATAAATAGAGATGTAACCTAAACCTATAAGAATGAATAAAATTTTCTAGCGCCGCCTAGGCACCGAGGACGTAAGCACATTGCCGAACCTCGTTAAAATTCTTGTGTTCTTTCGTTTACTTTGCCCAATTTATCAACACAACATTAGGTACCAAATAAAGGCATCAAACAGCAGCATAAAATCAAACACCATAATGGCTTAACCTACCTCCAAAAAGTAGACAAATCAGAGAACTACAAATTCACCACTGAAAGTGAAACCATAATGATAACCCCTTATTTTTAACTCTATTTGGTCCAAAGTAAAATAACCAGAGAAAATAAAACATGTCAAGCAAAAGCAAAACTACCCATCAAACCATACAACAATAATCATATTTTCCTAATTCCATCATTCCCGAATGAGCGACTATAGTCTGAGTTTTAACATGAAAAAGGAATAAAGAGAAACTAAAAACCCAAGTAAGATTACGCAAAGCTAAAAGCAAACAACCTCGATTAAAACTTCTTAGCGTTGAAGAAAATGAAGCAAAAAATAATAAGAAAAACCTGTAAAGGAAAGATGGCGAAACGAACTAGAACCCAGATCGCAGGTGGAAGAGATGGGTCCACGTCCAGCTCCACCACCGCCACCAGAAGAAGCGCCGACGGAGGCTGAAGGAGACGGGGAAGCATCTGGAAACCTTGCATCACTGGCCTTAGGGGCTAAAACGACAGAAGAATTTGCAGGTTTCGTACCCAGGAAGTCGTGGAACATTGTTGGCTTTACTTGCTGTTGGTGTTGCAAATGAATCGGGGTGTTGTTAATTTTGCTTTGTTGAGCCATTTTCAGAACGGCCATCTCATCATGATAACAAATATAGTCTCCACATCATCATCATTCATCTGCAGTTGCTTCTAAATTATCACTTTCTTCGTCAAAAAGAGCTCGATTTTTTTATTTAAAAAATAGGGAAATGAAGACGGTGGGGGGCCCCGGGCCCCGGGGGTTGTGAAACACTCAGAATCAAAGTCCTTTTATGAGGAACTAGGACAGAGAAAGGAAGCATTAAAAAGCAAAAGTATTTTTTTTATCCTTCTTTTCCCCCAGTTTTTATTGGGTGATTCTTTAACTTTTCTACGTTCTCTGTTTGATCTCTGTCCGAATGTTGGGATATTTATATTAAAAACGAATTTGGAAATATAGTCGAAGTTTACGTTGTGGTAGTCAATGTTCGCATTGTGAATATGGAAATTGATTTGTCATATCGGAGATCGCGTTACGAATTATCGATCGTATTACGATTTAGTTGGTCATTTTGATAAATCCAAAAAAAATTAATTAAAATCATATATTATAAAGTATTTTTTGTAACTGAAGTTATTTTCTCTTAATAATAACATGTGAAAAACAACAATATCACAGGCACAAAATCTAAGGTAATGATTCATCTAAGATTAAATATGCTGACACCAAGATAATATAATTTCTACTTATTTGATATTTAAATTATAATCATATACTTCGGATGTTAGAGATTGAATCGAATTTATCACGCCACAGTCACACACGACGAATATTAAGGAATTATTTATATCTGTCAGTAATTACTACTAATAGAATCTAAGCCAATAACTTTATTAAAAATAAATAAAACTGCTGATTATCAAGTTAGACATGCATAAGAAAATCACGAACTAACTTATTTCAGTAATTAAATGAATCGTTATTATTTTTAGAGGTTACATGTTTAAGTAATTAATAAAAAATAAGGCTTAAGGGTCAACTTTGCCCCTGTAATAGACTTAATTTATTATTTTCACCCTTATCGTATTTTCGTATCAATTTAACTCTCGAAGTTGCTCAATTGTATCATGTTATACCTTACCCCTAATTTAAAACCCTAAATTATAAACCCTAAGTTGAGTTTAAGGTGTTAGGTTTAGAGGTATGAGATTATGCTTTAGGGTATAGGGTTTGTAATTTATGTTTTAAGTTAGGGTATTGAATGGTGCAATCGAGAACTTCGAGGGTTAAATTGATGTATAAATACGATACGGGCGAAAAATAATAAATTAGGTATA